TTGAGAAATGTGCCCTGACTCTCACTTCTTGGTCTTTGTGCAGAATGTTTACATGCAACATACTGTTTTCCCCATAATAACCATTCAGCTGAGTTCTTGTACCCCTTTTAAAGATGAGATCAGAGAGATCAAATGCCCTGCCCAAGACCATATGGCTAATAAGTGAATCAAATAACTAGAACTCATGTCTGACTCCAATACCTTAATTTCTTTCTACTAAAGTCCAGTACTTCCTTTGGCTCATGGATAAACAAATAGAGAAACTAACTAGACTCCAAGTGCCTTGGGAGCGGGGACCATAGATACTGTTGTTTAACAGAATCCCAGCTGTGCCATTTTTTCATCCAAGTCAAAAATCCAAATTGTTTTTTAAGATTTAACATTTTACAGGCAGTCATGGCTTATTCATCTTCATCCTGTACTCAGATCCTTGCCCTTAATTATGCTCAGTAATATTTGTTGTACAAATGTGTCTAGAACTGTGTTCTCCAATATGGTGAGCACCTGATATGTGGCTTGTCTGTATTGTGATGTGCTATAATCACAAAATGCACACTGGGTTTTGAAGACTTACGAAAAATATATAAAATATTTTAGTAATAACTTTATGTTAATTTCACATTAACATAATATTTTAATATACTGAGTGAAATGCAACATATTCTGGAAATTCATTTGAACTTTTATTTCTACCTTTTTAATGGGGCTACTGGAACATTTAAAATGGCATATGTGGTTTGCATTATATTTCTATTGAACCGAGTTTATAGACATTGTTTTTGAGCCTCAGTTTTCACTCTGAACACATGGTACTTTAATAGTTACAAGAAGGGAGTAAAGGTCAGAAGAGTTTGGAAATGGAGGCTTGACCCAAAGGGAAAAGCCTTTATAGAAACCCTTATGGTAGTTATAGGGGTGTGGTCTCTGTGTGCCTGGACATGTGGAAAGATGGGGGAGTCACAAAGATCTTGCTAAGCCTAATTAGAGTTCCTACAAGAAAACAGGTCCAGGTGTTGGAGTCAAGTAAGAGAACTGCTAATCCTTAATGGTCAACATATCAAGCATTTGTCAGCCCTCTACATCCATATGCATGCATGTGTGTGTACACACATAGGCACAGACACACATACTTTCTCTGGTTGTATTAGGTATGAGGCAAGCTTTGCAGGTAGACAGACAAAATTTCAATCCTGTTTCTCCCACTTACTACCTCATGTCACCCCTCTGAGACAGTTATTCATCTATAAAACCAAAACTCATGATACAGTCCTTATAGGATGACTGTGGACATTGTAAACAAAGTATTTGTTCATATTTGATTGTAAACCAGCATTGTGAAAAAGGAATAGATTTACCCGCCACTGTCTGAATTTGAATTGTGGTTCTACTACTTGCAAGCTATGACCCTGAACAAAATATCTAATTTCCACGTGCCTTCATTTTCTCACCAGTTGAGATGAGAATAAATGTAGTAACCTACTTCCTAGGTTCTTGTAAGTATGAAATGAGTCAATGCATGTAAAGTCTTTAGAATAGTGCCTGGAAGAGATACTGTGCTATGCCAGTGTTAGCTTTTCTTATATTAGAATTGCCTGATGACTTTTCGGTCACTCTCTCTATCTTGCCCCAGTAGGGAAAAAATAATGTCTGATTCCTGTACGCCAGATTTGTTCACCATGGTAGGGATATACGAGGTCATGTGTTTAGGATAAAGTAGAGATTGGAAGGAAGGAAGGGAGTAAGAATTTTGCTGAAATGTTTCAAAGTGTGGGTGTGGCATCGAAGGGGCTGTGAGAAGAGTCTGAGGTGGCCTCCTAACAGGGATAGACCCCTCGTTTTTGCTCTGTGGCTCCAGACACAGCAGAAAGTATGGCAGATGTTTTCTGAACATAAGAGAGTGACCTTATCAGATGCCTTCATTTTCCCTTTGGCCAAGAATTACGTATAGGTGAACAGAAGTCTTCCTCCCTTTTTTTTTTTTTTTGGAGATGGAGTCTCGCTCTGTCACCCAGGCTGGAGTGTAGTGGTGCGATCTTGGCTCACTGCAACTTCCACCTCCCCGGTTCAAGCAATTCTCCTGCCTTAGCCTCCCAAGTAGCTGGGATTACAGGCACACGCTGCCACACCTGGCTAATTTTTTGTTTTTAGGAGAGACGGGGTTTCACACATTGCCCAAGCTGGTCTCGAACTCCTGAGCTCAGGCAATCTGCCTACCTTGGCCTCCTAAAGTACTGGGATTACAGGTGTGAGCCACCACGCCTGGCCATTCTCCCTTCTTTTCTTTCTTCTTTCTTCTTCTTCTTCTTTTTTTTTTTTTCTTTTTTAACAGTAAAATCTTTTAATGGCACTTTTAAAAGCCCTGCTGGCTTCTGGGGACCTCTGCTCTCTAGTAACTTCCAAATTCTCCATGAGCTCCCTGCCAATTCCATTTCAAAGCAGAGCCTTTAAATGGAGAACTGAATCTGGCAGAATCTGAAGTCTGCTCATGTCTCCAGGCCCTGCTTTTAGTTGCTGGGGATTGGGGAAAGTGTGCACTAAGGCTCTGGGACACACCTTGCCTGATGACACATTTGGGAGAAAGATCAAATGTTGTTGTCCTTGTACTTTCCCACTCATTAGAACATACCGTCTCAGGGAAGGATGGGTGTGGGGAGGCAGATATTAATCTTTCAATTTTACAGAGCCTGAAACCGAGACGCAGCATCATAAGTGACTAGAAATTTGAGCTTGGGCATTAGTTCTACCTGGTTTCAAAGTCCACCTTCACTCATTATTAGCAAATCATTTTTCTTTTCTGAGCGTCACTTGCCTCATCTGTAAAGTAGGCACAATGATGCCTCCCTCCTAAGGGTATTATGAATTCAGTAGTATGAATGAGATGTTGTGTACAAAGCTCTGAATGCCGTATTTAGCGCCTTGACACTCGAATGATGATCTGCTCTTTCAGGGTTCACTCATGAGTGGTTTTAAGGAAAACAATGCCTGTATTACAGAGAGACCGAATTTGGAGTTGGACAGACTAGCCTCAAAGCTTAACTCTCCTAGTCATCTGCTGTGTGACTATGCAAGTAACTTTGCATAAGCATGTCTTTGCATCTTTGCTTTATTATCTAGTTTGTTAATTACACCACTCTTATGAGTATATCATGATGATGATTGTCTGCAATAATGTCTACAAATCTTCTAGGTACCTAGTAGACTGTGCAACAATGTTGCTAGAAGAATGAATGTGTAATAACCATATTGCAGAAAAAGTGTCTGCAAGTAGAATTTCTGTATACTGAATGCCATTTCAAATACCCTACCTGAGGAAATTACATAATAAATCCTTTCGTGAATTGAATAACATTTCCTTCTAATGTATGTTTTTCTTTTCCTCAGTTGAAATTTTCGAATAGGTAATAGGTTTGCATGGTGCTTGACTGAAAAGATGCAAAGAGTTTATAGAGAAAAGTAGCCTCCCTCTGTTCCCATCTTTCAGCCACTTAATTCTCCACCCAGGACAACCATTTTTACCAGATTCTTAAGTCTGCTCCCAGAAAGTCTATTACCGTAGATGTCTGAAGCCCCATCAATGAAACAATTTTAAAAACCAAAGTCCTTATTTTCCTGTGCCCATCTACTCACGCCCAGTATCCTCAGAGGCTCTCTCTCCTGGTTATTTCTTCTCTAGAGTAAATAATTTACCAATCCTTTAAACCCTCTCTTTCCATATCCTGTCTTTTTTTTAGCAATTAAAAATGCAGAAAGCACAAAGATAAAAATAAAAAATACCCATATTTCTCTCTTTGGAATTAATGACTATTAGTATTGTGACACAATTGCTTTTAGCCTTCTTTTTTATCCTTTCTGCAATCTGTCGTTCACAGCATATGAATGCATCGCCCTTTTCCCTCCACAGTCCTCTGAGTTTGTCTCTGAAGCACCCTTTGCACTCATCTCCTCCTCCCACCCTCACTGCACAGGCCCTCCTGCAAGCCCTGACCTCCATTCACCTGGGTGGTCACTGAGCCTCCTGACTGCTTCCCCTGCCTGGCACCCGTCCTGCAGCCTAGGTACCACTGGAGTGTTCTTCCTTGTACGCACCATGGCTGGTCAATTCATACTTTTGCTCTAGAACCTTCCATGACACCCAAAGTAAAGCTCCCTATCCTCTGTTTGGCACCCAAGTCCTCTCCCTGTGTGTCTTCCCAGTCATTTCTCTACTTAATGTTGCCTCCGACTGCCCACATGGCCCATTCCTGAGGAGGCTCAAGCTGGTACCTCTGCTGGAACTCCTTTTTCTACTAGTGCAGCCCCATCCATCCTTCAAGACCTGACTTAAATCTTCGCTCCTGCATAAAACCTTCTCAGACCCTCCATGTTGAAATGAATTGCACTCCCCAATATTCCTAGCATCTCATTGAGTGGTAAACAGAAGCCATGAATTAGGTTTAAGCCTCCTTAGGATTCCATTTGTCCTCCTGACTAGCTTATGATCCCCTGCCTGGCAAAGACTGAGTCCTATTTATCTTTGCGTCTCCAGTGTCTTGCTCTGAACCTGGCATATAGTAAGCACTTGATTGAAATGTGGTTAAAATTAAGTTATCTAGAGTGTTTTCTAGAGTGTTTGCTTATCACCAAAAGCAACAATAGCTATCAGTTATTTAAGACGTACTGCAGACCAGGTATTTTATATATTACATCTCCTTTAATCTTCACAGCAATCTCACAAGGTGAATAGTTTTATCCCTATTTTAGAAAGACAGAACCCAGGGTTCAGAAAGGTGTGATTTCCCGTCAAGGTCACACAGCCCAGAAGCTGCTGAGCCATGCTTGGACTCAAGATCTGCTTCACTGCAGAGCATGAACTCCTTCCATTCATCACACTGACTCCTGGGTGGCTTGGGATTTACAGAGAGAAGTCTGGGGATGGGGTTGCGGATCTCTGGGATGGCTGAGGAATCTCACAAACTTCTGGAGGCCTGGAAGGCTGACTGATAGATTGTGCTTCCTCACAGGGGGAATCAGCTTTGGGAGAGCCAAGGGGACGTCGGGCTCTGAGGCAGACGATGAAACGCAACTGACGTTCTACACAGAGCAGTACCGCAGTCGTCGCCGCAGCAAAGGTAATAGTGTCCTTGGAAGGTTCCAGAACCAGAGTTTGTAGAAGGAAATCCTGGAAATCAAATTTTGTGTTCCCTAGGAAATCGTAAATCTTCTCTAACCTGGTCCCAATCTGGTTAAAACTGAGCTTAGTATCTGCTGCCTTGGCTATACTGGTGACCTTCAGTATATCATTTTCTCGACTTATTCTTTATTTGCTTTCTATCCTACCTTATTCCTCGAAAAATATTGTGGATTTTTTTTAGTTTATGTAGATTTTTAAAAATTCAAAACAGGAAATGAAATAACTAATCATATTAATATGAAAATAAGAATAAGGAAAATTATTCAAACCCAGGTTGGGTTGATGCAGAATAATTCCTGCCATACTATTTTGTAGTTCTTAGAAGAGGCTGGCAATTTAAGTAAGAAATTCCTGGCAGCCAAAGTGTAAAGGGAAACATACTCAGAAATAAAATGTACAGGGTTAATGGGAAAGAATCAAGCATTTGCTCAGGAAATTTTACTTACCAGACCAGAGATAAAGTCCTCTACTTGGTATGTATGAAGAAGATACCATGTGACTTTCTAGATGGTTTCTTCAACAGAAAAAAATTCAGTATTGGTGCATAATTATTTCTCACAGTGTCACTCAATGTAGGGGAATGGCCAAATGCTGAAGCAGGACTCCACAAAGGTCTGAAACCTGTGGCCAAGATCCATCATTGTCTGATTATTCAACGTGCTCTGAAGGGAAAACATAGCATATTTCAGGCAATTGCCTGTGAATGTAATTCCTCATCTTGGATTGTTCATAAGGACAGGAAAGCAGCCAGTCTGAGACTGCATTCTTGGAATAGACCCTCCTGGGGTGCAAACATTGATTCCATGCCAGTGATAAAGGGCAGATCCATGCATGGGCTTTAACCACCCACTGAAAAGAAGGTCCTGTGACAAAAAACAGGTCCAGGTCATGTGGCAGGGTACCTGGCCCTCCTCTCCTACCTCCACAAAGAAGTGGGCTGAAAAGTAGCTGGGGCAGGGAGAAGGAGGAGGAGGAAGCTTTCTCACAAACCATTCTGCATGCATTCTATCCATGCACAGTGGACATTGCAAGAGTACAGATCCCCATAGCTTCTGTGTGCTCCTTTTGCTCTTAGGCAAGTTATTTACCTTCTGTATGCCTCAGTTTTTCATCTACAAGTTGGACCTTGTAACTGCCTCATGGGGCTGTGGATAAATTTTGGTTAAGCTATGTAAAAAATTTATCATGGTGCCTAGTGTATGCTAAGAGCGAAATAAGTCAGACATTATTAATGTCAGTTCATTTCTCATTGTTTTTTTTTCCTGTCTCCTCACCTCTGGCATCTTTCACTGAAAAGCCCCACGTGGGAGGAGTGTTGCCATTGACACGTTACATGGGAAGGGTTTGCAGCCTCGGTAGCCACTGGAAGAACGGAATCTGCCTCTCACTCCTTCCCATTCCTCAGCTTTCTCCACTTGGTCTTAGCCAGAAAACCAAGAAGCAATCCTCAGCTTCCTGGAATCTGCATTGGAGATTTAGAAGTTGACGATTGATGGTTCTTGACTGGTCTTCTCCCTCACACAATCCAGCAGCCAGAATTAGGGCTGGGGAAGTTAATGGGTCCCCTCAGCAGGCCTGGGCTATTTATAGATAATTGGAAAAACATCTATCACTGAGCATGCCCCCCATAAATTGGTGTTCAACTTAGAAAAGCTAAAGCAAGCTACAGGCCCCAAGATGAAGGATTTAACCCAGCGCCTCCTTTCTTTCTCTCTCCTTCCATCCCTTCATTCTTTCCTTCCTCTCTCCCTCCCTTCTTCCTTCCCTCCTTTTTTCCTCTCCTCTCCTCTCCTGTGCTCTCCTCTTCTCTCCCCTTCCCTCCCCTCCCCTCCTTTCTCCCTTGCCTGCCTTCCTCCCTCCCTCCCTCCCTTTCTTTCTCCCTTTCATACATACCACAAATATTTGTTCTGCACCAACTACATGCCTGCTACTCTTCTAGGCACTGGGGACACAAACCAAGCAACAATTTAAAATTCCTACTCTTGTGGGGTTTGTATTATATCAAAATATAAATCTATTAGATGGTGATAAATGCTAAGAGAAAAGGAGACAACAAGGAGGGGAATTGAGAGAATATGGAAGGAATTGAATGCTTAGATTCAGTGAGCATAAATTACCCTACCCTTTTTGCAGGATCACAGGGAGAGCATTCTTAATACTGTGTTTGATGTTGTTAGGTTTTTGCTATTGCTGCCGCAGCTGCCACAATTTTTGGTTGTTGAATACAGAGAGTGAATTTGGTTCTGCAACATCTTTGTTCTAGGCAAATGAACTGAGAACCCAATGTCCCAGTCTGCAAGTACCAGAATTCCTCATGAAAGGGCTGTGATCCATTGTTTCTCTTTCATATACTTTGGGCACGAGTAAGGGTGCCTTCAGCACTCACTGCCTTAATGGGAAAAATGCACAGGACAGAGGTGAGCCAAGGGAGGTCCAGGAGCCCTTGGTGACATAAGAGCAACAGAGTGTTTCACGTGTCGTGTGAAGAGATCACCTAACAGGCTTTGTGTGAGCAACATGGCTGTTTATTTCACCTGGGTGCAGGCAGGCTGAGTCCGAAAAAGGAGTCAGCAAAGGGTGGTAGATTATCATTAGTTCTTATAAGTTTTGGGATAGGCAGTGGAGTTAAGAGCAATGTTTTGGGGGCAGGGAGTGGATCTCACAAAGTACATTCTCAAGGGTGGGGAGAATTACAAAGAACCTTCTTAAGGGTGAGGGAGATTACAAAGTACATTGATCAGTTAGGGTGGGGCAGAAACAAATCACAATGGTGGAATGTCATCAGTTAAGGCTATTTTCACTTCTGTGGATCTTCAGTTGCTTCAGGCCATCTGGATGTATACGTGCAGGGCACTGGGGATATGATGGCTTAGCTTGGGCTCAGAGGCCTGACACAGAGCATAGTACTAAAAGCATAGATTCTGGTGGTGGGTTACGTGGGTTCAAATCCCAGCCCCCCCACTTACTGGCAATGCCATATTAATCATGGAACGTAATGTCTCTGTGCATCAATTCCCTAAGTTGTAAAATGAGGATATTAAGATTAAAGCATAGAGAGTTGTTCTAAAGATTAAAATTACTTAATATCTGTGAAGCATTCAGGTAGAGGTAGGGAGGGGAGAGAAGTTGTGGCAGAGTGAAGTTGCTGAGAAGGATTTACTGTGGGGACAGGAAGGGAGTCTCAGATCTGCTACCAACTCGCTGTGTGACCTTAGTAAAGTCTCTTTTGTTATCCAGATCTGTTTTTTAATCCGAAACATGGGAGAGTGGACGAGTGAGAGCCAATTGAATTTGATCTCTGAGATCTCTTCTTACTTGTATGTGAACGGGACATGGTGCATATTTCTGAGAATCTCCTGTTATTGGGATGTACCTGGCTTCCAGCTCCAGCTTCCTTTGCACCCTGTTTGCCTCCCCCATGTCCAGTGCCACTCCCCTTTCCTGTTTCTCTCCTTTAGGGTCTAACTGTGACACTAGAATGGTTCTGTTGTCCCCTTTGGCTATTCTGATGGGTTCTTTCTTCCCTACACCCCCAGGCCTGCCTGGACCTGTAACATGCCAGTCCTCTCCTGTTCCTCTGCCATCACCATTTCAGCTCCTCTTTAGCAAAGGCAATGACTCAGCAGTTCCCTGCGGTCTGCCCGGGGGGTGTGTGAGCCTGCCCAGCTGTGACACAGAAGAGATGATGAAGTGCAAGGAGGTGAGGGAAGAAAGAGATAAAAGTACCAGGAAAGGCAGTTCCTTGTGCTAGTTGAGAATGGTCATCTAATATCCTTTGGGACTCCATATGAATTCACTATAACCATTTCAGGTCTATCTGCAAAGTAGGAGCTGAGCTGTGTTTCCCAAATCTCGGGGCATGTGGGCTTTGATAAAGACATTCAACTTCATCATTTTGAAGTACTCAGAAGGAAGTTGAGTCTTTGGGGCCGTCTGTGTGTGACAGAAACAGTGATTTTCAGTCCTGGCTTTGCCACAACGTTTTTGTGTGACCTTGGCCAAGTCCCTGCTGATCTCTGAGTCTCACTTTTTCAATCTCTAAGTAGAGATTTAAGAGGAATGCTCAAAAGCAACTCGATCAGCATGGTGAAATTATTCTTAGGGACCCTGCACTGCAGTTCAGACTGTTTCAGATGTTAGAAGATTTTGGAAGACAAAGTTATTGAACTGAGTGTTTCAGATTATCCCAGCTTTGGAAGAAGAAAGACACGATAAACTGCAGCTAAATATGGGAGGGTTTCCTGAAAGAGTTGAGGCTGGGAAGTTGCCTGAATCTCAGACATGGCTCTGCCTCTTTTCATCCATGGGACATGAACCAGTATTCTCAAATTCCCATCTTTAAAATGCAGTCACTCCATCTCCCTCACAGGGTCATTGTGAAGATTAAAATAATGAGTATCTTCTTTATAACTTCAACTTCTGCCAACAAGCTCTCCCCTTCTCCACTGCTGCCATTCTAGTCCCTGCCACCTGCATCCTTTGCTTTAAAACTGCTAAGAGTCCCCTCTACCATCTCCCTTGCTGTGTTCCAGCCCGTTCTCAATCATGTAGCCAGAGTGATCATCTTTACACATGTAAATATGGATCATGTTGTTTCCCCTCTTAGAAGCTTTCAATGCTTTCCTTTTGCTTTCAGGATGAAACGGAAACTCCCTACCCCACCTGCAGTCCTGAGTGGTCTTGCCCTGCCTCTCTCCCCAGGGCTCTGTCTGCTCCATCCCCCCACACCCCACCTCTCGCCCAGGACCTCTTCCCCAGCACTCCTGCATCTGTCCTGCCACAGCCTTCACAACTTTTGTCTCCTGGAATGCTCTTCCCTGCCATTTGACTCATTCACCTGCCCCACCTCACGTGAAACCTCCACTTAAATGGCATATTTTCCGCAAAGCTGTCCGTACCTGAGTTAATTTCCGTGTCTCATTCCATACCAGATGCTGT